CCCTTCAGGGTTGGGGTCCCCACTGGGGTGCCTGGTCAGTCTGGGTGAGGGGCTGAGGGCTGTTTTCAGGCTGGGACTGAAGCTCCCAACGGCTCCTTTTTTTTTTTTTTCTGGGCCAGCTTTAGCTCTTGCTCCAGCTCTGAGGCCTCTGCTGCTGAAAGAGGTTCTATAATCGAAACAATGTATAACTCCAGCTCTGAGATCCCGGATGGCTGAAAGCAGGTTTCTAGGGTTTTGTTTAGCTTCTATCATTGTAACAATGTTTCAAACTACAAGCTCAGAGGGCCCGCAAGGCAGGCAGGGAAGATTGGAATCCTCTGTCACTGAAGCAAGCAAGCCTCATGTTAGCTTCCAACTGCCTGGCTGCCGGCCGCCATCTTGGCTGGCAGTTAATTTGCATATCGCCCTGATTAGCCAATGGGAAGGGTAGCGGTCATACGCTAATTACCATGTTTCTCTTTTATTAGATAGGATATTCTTACTTCTGGCTTCATCTTGGTTTCCTATATTTTCTTTTTGTCTCATTTTTCTTACTTATTCTGAATATTTTTTTAAATATATTTTATTGACTTTTTACAGAAAAGAAGGGAGAGGGATAGAGTTTTAGAAACATCGATGAAAGAGATCGATCAGCTGCCTCCTGCACACCCCCCACTGGGGATGTGCCCGCAACCAGGGTACAAGCCCTTGACTGGAATCGAACCCAGGACCCTTGAGTCTGCAGGCCGACGCTCTATCCACTGAGCCAAACCTGCTCGGTTGAATTTTTTTTTTAATATATTTTATTGATTTTTTACAGAGAGGAAGGGAGAGGGATAGAGAGCTAGAAACATCGATCAGCTGCCTCCTGCACATTCCCTACTGGGTATGTGCCTGCAACTAAGGTCATGCCCTTGACCGAAATCGAACCTGGGACCTTTCAGTCCCCAGGCTGACGCTCTATCCACTGAACCAAACTGGCCAGGGCATTCTGAATATTTATCTTGCTATACTGAATGCATCTTTGTTAACCACTCTGTATCCTATGAGAACAAAGTAAGTGATCATTTAATTAACATTTTTAAACTAATCACAGCACAGTTTCATGAGGGAATCTCATAGTTACCATATTTGAATGTGCCAGAATCTGCACTAACATATGACTGGCTCTCCTAGCCCATGAGGCCTCCAGAACTGAAGGAGACTGACCCATACCCCCGGTACTGATCTGAAAGTAACAGCAGACTGAAAAAGAACATCACTGTGAAACCCTGCCAATCTCAAAGGCCTGGAGAATGTAAATTACTCGGGCAGCATCCTTAACCTGAAGTCAGGAACACTAACTTGAGTAAAGTAAAAGCTGCCTCCTCTAACTGCCACATCTGCAATCCCAA